TGATGCTGCCAGCGGTGGAGTCTCGGCAGCGCCCAAAATGGAGCTGGAGGCATTCATTGGTCATGACGGCTGTCCCGAGCTGACAGAGGGCGTGTTTACGCCATGACGAGCCGGCAGGAACCGGACACGCCGTGAATCTGTTGGCAGGCGCCGTTCCGCACGTCTGCGCCGAGCGAATCCCTGTCATGCACCCGGATCAAGCTGTGGTCTATAAGTAAGACACCTCCAACCGGTACGTGAACCGCGTCACGCCCTGTCGCACAGGGCCATTGTCTGTTTCTGGAGGCCGGGCGCAGTTGATTTGGGATTCGACATGGTTGTCATGATGCATGGGAATGCCAAATGCATCGGACATGCCAGGCACATGCCAAAGATTACCTTTGCAAGAGAGTCCGCATGATAAATGCCACGTTTGCATGAGAGTATAGTCGTTTAAAGCGATGATTGAAAACGACATACAAATTATGCGTCATCTTATCTACCACGTAACCCACAAAACGTCGCACTAGTGATGAACGGATTCAATTAACCGCATTCCTTAATTCAATTAACCACAAGGACTGGAGTTCAATTTCCAACCGGTCACAAGTGACACCAATGACCTTCGATGGAAGCAGCGCGGATATAGCGACAGCTTCCCTCCGTTCTCACCACAGCAGCCGGGGCCGTCGCCCTCTAACCACATTCGTCGAGTGCGTCGGCAGCGTTCAGGCCCTGCATCGACCAGCGACGCTCCAGCCCGAAGCGCCCGGGGTGCCCAACAGGGCAGCGGCTGGCAACCCGGGTCGCCCAACAAGGCAGCGGCTGGCAACCCGGGCCGCCCAACAGGGCAGCGGGTGGCAACCCGGGCCGCCCAACAGGGCAGCGGGTGGCAACCCGGGTCGCCCAACAGGGCAGCGGCTGGCAACCCGGGCCGCCCAACAGGGCAGCGGCTGGCAACCTGGGCCTCCCAACAGGGCAGCGGCTGGCAATCCGGGTCGCCCAACGGGGCAGCGGCTGACAACCCAGGCCGCTCAACAGGGCAACGGCTAGCAACCTAGGCCGCTCAACAGAGCAGCGGCTAGCACGCCCCATCGACCAGTCGCTCTATCGGACCGATAACTCCCCTGCAGGCCGAGAAGGGTCCTCGATCCGACCCCCTCTGATGTGATACCGCAGAGCGACACAGCAATGGCGTGGGCAGGACCGGCCGGCCCAGGGTGTACGGCCGCCAGGTGGTGGGACATGCGATGGAGTGGACCGTCCTGCGATGGAGTTGACCGAAGCCACCAGCCCAGGGTGTACCACCGTCAGGTGATGGGACAGGGAGCATCTACGGGGCGCAAGGGGCGGCAGGAGCGGCCGTCAGAGGTCTGCATATGCATCCCCCTAAAAGAAGTCCTTTGTACTGTTATCAGCCACAAGGCCACGGTATTCACCACCAGTTATTGTCACCAGTGGAGGCTTGTTATACTTATTCAGAGATTGCCGGAATCTGCATCGCCGTTGTCTCTGTGATTGACACTATTACACAGCCTCTAAGGTCTTAATCGGCATCTTGGAATTTGCACAGGTTGAGCTGATCCATCGCTGCCACCTCTGTCAAACCTGCCGTTACCACCTCTGTCCCAAACCTCCACCGCAGCCACCGCTGGCTCTATTCCAGTCACCCCTCCAGCCCCGGACTGCTGATGGCGAACGCGTGCCACCTTTGGGAACGGTGAGTCAGCCATGACAGCCAGACGCGTGGCAGGACGTGCGGCATCGCTGGGCCGGCGGCCTGGCCTGACGGGCACAGTTCAGCGACCCAGCCCACGCCCCGCTCCCCTTCAGACCAGCCGTCGCGCGACACTCCGCCCGGAGCCCAGCGACCCGGCCCACACCCCGCTCCCCTTCATACCGGCCGTCGTGCGACACTCCGCCCGGAGCCCAGCGACCCGGCTCACGCTCCGCTCCCCCCGGACCGGCCGTCGTCCGGCGCTTCGCCCCGGGCCCAGCGACCCGGCCCACGCTCCGCTCCCTTTCAGACCGGCCGTCCGCCCGGCGAACTTTGACGGGAATTTCCCCGGGGATTGCGCAGCGGCGTTCAGTGTCCCCGTGAGGCAGTGAGGGCCGGCTAGTAGCCGAAAATACGAGCGGCCGGTGAGAGCAGCCCCCGCCGAAGGATTGGTCGGGCGCGAGCCGAAGGGAGGCCGCCACACACCGCGGGAGGGGTCGCACAAACACCACGCGAGCAACAAGGATTCGTCCACGCAGCAAGGAGACCACTGAGGAAGGCTTCTGATTTATTGCAAACACCCGTCATAAATAACCGAGTGAAGAAGTGCAACAAGTAAAGGAACGGAAGGCCGCCCGCCCCACCTAGCTTTTCGCGTCGGCTTACCCCCAAACATCGCCGACCCAGGACGGACACCCATCCCGCACAGCGCAGGAACTGCAAAAACCCACCCGACGGCCTGTCCAACCCACACCGGTATTGTTCAAAGATGTACTTGTCAATTACCGCCGGACAGAAGTGGGTCAGTTTTTCGTGCGGATCAGGGGGCCACAACGAGGTCATTGCAGGAGAGCAGCGCCCGGAATGAGGGCGGGGAGGCCCCACGGCTATAGCGGGGATCCCCAGGACCACAGCGGCGCGAACACCTGGACTACAGAGGAAGCGCCCCGAAGAATTAAGAGGGGCGGCCACTGGGACCTGGGCGAGAGTGCCTCCGAGCGCGAGGACCGGTCCGATTAGATGAACGGCGCCAGGCCTGATGGGATTAACTCGAGCTTTTGGAGGATTTTTGGGTCGTTCACAGCGCCAGCAGGTAAAACGCGCAGGGAAAAAAGATGTAAGCTTTGAGGGAGTAGGCTTACGGCAAAAATGTGGCTGAATGAAACACACAGAAAGCTGCATTAAGCCTTCCCGATTCATTCGGTATGTTATTGTTGCTTTTTTTGGCGGAAGTCCCCAACGTTACGCTGTCATCTCTAGATATGGGCACTATTTGATAATGTACGCTAGTAGTTCTCCCGCAGAGACGGCACCTCGTCCAAAACCTTTACAGTCGGAGACGAAACACCAGGGGACAATATTGGAGTTGTTGGGAATTCGCTGGGGTTGAAAATCTGCTTTTAGAACCAGAGCTTTCTACTCATCCCGTAAAACAAAAACAAAAAATAAAAAGCGTACTTGATGCGCCAATCCTCCCAAAAGCCGGATGTTTTCGTTTCAAGCAGATCTCATCGGCCGAGCGTCAGCCAACGCTGGTCTGAGCGGCCGTCGTCCCGCGCCGTTGATCGGACTCAGCCCCCCGTCATGGTCTCACCTCCACCGTGGTCAGAGTGGCCAGGATCAATCGGGTCGCCTTATTTCGACTTTCTATCTGTCCTATTGCCCCTTCTTTACGAGAGACCTGGCCTCGGCCGCACATTGTGACCGATGGCACGGCGTTGCTGCTGATAAAGCACGCCACCTGTATGACCCGGACGGACACCTCTGCTGACCAGCTGGCCAGGTCACCTCCAGCCCAGCCAGGCGTGTCTGCGCGGCGTCAAACTGATCTGGCATTCCTCACCTGCGAGTCGATCTATTCGGGGCACGGCCGCTGGTGGTGGAAGGTCAGCCGGCGACAACGGCGATAAACATCGGAACCGGAGACAAGCAGAAAAATGGGCAGATGAAAAAGTAGACGAACTTGATTTGTTCATCACCACTGAATGGTAGTTTATATAGTGTGAATGGTACACTAACATAACATAAAATACTTGATAACCACTCTATGCAGCTGCTGCATATATCTGTCCCGATCTCTTCAGATCTCGACCTCACATGGATCTCGTCCTAATTGTCTCCCTTCCAGACTAATCTTATCCGGATGCTCTCAGCTCTAGCCGACCTCAGCTGATCGGTCTCCCTCCAGACCGACCTCTCCCTGCCGGTCTCCCCTGGTTGATCTCGGCTGGCGGGTTTCCCCTGGCTGAATTTGGCTGGCGGGTTTCCCCGGGCCGATCTTGGCTGACGTGTTTCCCCTGGCTTATCTTGGCTGGCGGGATTCCCGGCCCAATTTGGCTGGCAGGTTTCTCCTGGCTGAGTTTGGCTGGCGGGTTTCGCCGGGCCGATCTTGGCCGGCGGATCTCTCCACCAGACCGGTCTCTTCCCGTGGGTCTTCTCTCCAGGCCCACCTTCTCCGCGGATCTTGCCGCAGGTCTAGCCCCCACACTGACCTCGGCCCAAGAGTGTTACCTCCAGAGCGATCTCAGCTCGCGGGTGTCGCCTCCAGAGCGATCCCAACTCGTGACTGTTACCTACAGAGGGGTCTCCCCTCGCGAGTGTCACCTCCAGAGCGATCTCCCCTCGCCAGTGTCCCATTCAGAGCGGTCTCTCTTCGCGAGTGCCACCTCTAGGGCGGTCTCTCTTCGCGAGTGTCACCTCCAGAACGACCTCCTCTCGCGAGCGTCACCTCCAGAGCGATCTCCCCTCGCGAGTATCACCTCCAGAGCGATCTCTCCTCGCGAGTGTCACCTCCAGAGCGGTCTCCCCTCGCGAGTGTCACCTCCAGGGCGATCTCTCCTCGCGAGTGTCCCATTCAGAGCGGTCTCTCTTCGTGAGTGCCACCTCTAGAGCGGTCTCTCTTCGCGAGTGTCACCTCCAGAACGACCTCCTCTCGCGAGTGTCACCTCCAGTGCGGTCTCCCCTCGCGGGTGTCACCTCCAGAGCGATCTCTCCTCGCGAGTGTCCCTTCAGAGCGATCTCCCTTCGCGAGTGTCACCTCTAGAGCGGTCTTCCCTCGCGGGTGTCACCTCTAGAGCGGTCTCCCCTCGCGAGTGTCACCTCCAGAGCGATCTCCCCTCGCGAGTGTCCCATTCAGAGCGGTCTCTCTTCGCGAGTGTCACCTCTAGAGCGGTCCCCCCTCGCGGGTGTCACCTCCAGACCGATGTCGTCCCACAGGCCTCCCCAGAGGGCCGCCCTCGCTCAGCGTCCCGCTCCCCAGACCAGCTCCCGGCCGGCTGGGGAGCGGCAGCTGAGAGGATCTCACCTCCAGGCTGATCTCGTCGCTGGCCTGCGCCACGTAGCGCTTGCCGACGAGCGCGGCGGCCACGGCCGGCGTGTTGATGTCCGAGTCGTCTCCGACCAGAAGCCGGTGGCCGCGACCGTCGAGCTCGAACCAGTTGAGGATCGGCGCGCAGTTGATGAGCGGCCCGGCGATCTGCGAGAACCGGTGCAGGTAGTCCGCCACCAGCGCCTCCACCGCCTCCTGCAGCAGAGCGAGTGGCGCACGGGGTCACGGCAACGCACAGCCACACGGACAGGCGGGGATCCTTCTCACTTACTTTGCCGCACTGGAAGGCGATTGGATTACAGACACGCTGAAACATCCATCAGACGTTTAATATGATCGTCTTGATCTTTCACGAGCTCTTGAAGGGAGGAGGGAGATCGGAAAATCTCCTTCATCAAATTGACATAATCGTTTTCACCGCATCACCATCCAGTTTTCGTCCCCACGTGGAGTGATGCCTCGAGCACTGAAGGTCAGTTCCGCTTCCACGTGATCACTCAAGCAAACGAATACATCTACAGCAATTCCACTTCACATCTGAGCAGTAGCGATAAAGTGACGACTCATCGATGCCCGCTGAAGTATCGCCGGTGCTAAGGCAACCCGTCGGCCGGGGTGACGTGTAGTGATTGCCAGGTCGGGGAACGATGTGCAGTGGTTGCCAGGTCGGAGGACAGGATGCAGTGGTTGCCAGACCCGGGGACGAGGCGCCGTGGTTGCCACGCCGGGGAATGAGATGCAGTGGCAGCCAGGTCACATTCGGCGGGATAGTCACGGGTCGCCATTTGAGGCCAAGGCCGGCGTGGAGAGACAGCGGCGTCTGGCATGCGCCGGGCCAATGAGAAAGAACGGTCGGCCACGTCGTAATCATCTTTGGATTACTGACGCGGCTCAGCTGCAAACAAGAAACTTAAAGCGGCGTGAGGCGAGACCAGCTTCCCATGCATGGTCTTTGCGGCGACCCCTTGACCCCGTCAACCCTCTATCGCGCTGCATGAATGTTCCATCTGCAAGATATACACCCTGTCACGGTGCATGTCTATGATTTAGACACAATGCCGCACTCTCAGTGTTACCGCTGGCGAAACCGCCACACCTCCGCAGCCTCAACGCCGCCCGACACGGGCTGAATCCCTGCGGCGCCTGTCGGTTTGGTAGGTCAGCACCAGCTGCCAGCAGGCTCCCCGGGCGACGCTGACTACAGACTCTCGGCCCGAGGTCGGGTCCGGGTCCTGCAGCAGACTGGAGCCGGGCCGCATACCGCCGCCGGAGCCTCCTCACTCATCGCAGCACTCCGTCGGCTTCACGAGATAATCAAACACCACCGTCGGCTGTTTGGAATGTCCGGCCGAGACCCACCAGCTCCAGTTCAGGGTGCCAAGGTGGAGCGGTGACGTCACTGGTATCAGCGGCGCCGGGCACAGCTTCGCTGGAAGAGCGCTGCATACTGGACGGGCTGCGGCCCATCCGCTGGCTGGGACCACACTCCGCCTCCGCCTCTTAATAATCCACTGATGAATAATCAATACTGCTGAATAAACAAGGTACCGGCCGGGCCTCATAAGGCGGTCAATACAGAAAGTAGGAAGACAAAGATCTAGGTAATACTAGTTTGGCTTGCATATGCCTTATTTCTCTGCTCTTAATGTATTAGTTAAATGTTATTGATAGCAAATGAAGAGTGCATGAGTTACCGTGCATGCAGAAGTATGCTGATTTGTATGTTACATTATTTCATTAGCCAAAGCGATGAGCCTGAACAACAGCTTAAATAAATCCCTTCCAGAAAAGCCTGTGAAGTTGCATGCCATGCCGGTAGGGTTACTGTCCAGACGGGACCAGGACCGCGGCCGCTGTACCTGGCCAGCCGCCCTCGGCGCTCGCCCACCGAGCGGTGCCGCACCTCAGCGGCAGGAGCGGCGTCTGGCCGCCGGCCCCTCGACCGAGACCGGACGGCTGAGTCACGCTCGGGGAGGAGTGTTCCCGCCCTCAGTTAACACTGCGCCCCGCCCGGCACGGCGCCGGGGACTGGCGGCGGGGGCGGGCGCACCTGCGGCGCGGGTGGGACTCGGTCAGCCGGGGCAGGCGTCGGCTGATCGACACCCGGCGTCAATGTCGGCTCGCTCGACTTGTGGCGAGGACGTTGTATCGCAGGAAAGTATCCTAGTACCGGCGTGAGACTTTGGGTCCTGAATCCCGATAGATCATGCATTGCTGGGCGCACGAACTGCGTAGGCCTTGTGCACCCAGATTGCATGGTTGATGTTCTGTACGCAGGAAGGAGCTCAGCTGCATACTCGTGCGTAACGAACGCGCTTGGGAGTGGCCGAGCAGCGCACATACGTCACAGCTGCTCTCAGCTAATGCCGTGTGTTGGTGGAGGCGAGGATTCACGGCCAACCCGAGCCGCCAAGGCCACGCCGTATACAGAATGTCTTTCATCGTCCGCACAGGCCAGTCCCAGAGCTCAGGCTGCCGGACTTATCTCGACTGACCTTTCGAGAGCTTGCCCAGCCGGTGGGTCGTCCGACCGATGTCCAGCCGCCAGCTGAAGCTCTGAAGATGACGACACCAACTACGCTAGCAGCCTGATCCGCAGCCCCAGCCACGCGGCGCAGACTCGGGACTCAGCTCGGCCGGGATCCGACAGACCAGCGCAGTCTGGCCTCAAGGCCTCGCCGGCGCCAAGGACCCTCTCGATCGGCCGGCGACGCACCGTCAAACCAGCCCCGAGACCGCGGCACCTGTCGCTCGTCCGGACAGGGCAGCTTCACGGTCACGACCGGGAGGCATCCGGTGACAAACAGGCTCGTGCGTCCCGCGCGGGCTGCAGATCGCCGGCGTCCGGAGGCGTGCCGTGATCCAGCCCGGAATCCAGAGACGGAAAAACACCTGCTGCCGGGGCTAAGAAGGCCAGTGGAAGACGACTGCCGTTTCACGTGATGATGTGATGTCACGGACATTGACCTCCGTGATGAGTGGGTGTTGTCGGCTGTCTGAAGACATCGCACGAAGTGACTGACCAGTCTGAACCACTATCGTCGGCCTCGCACATCCAGCAGTTTTCCTTTACATATACTCTGACGTTAAAAGGCATGTTTTAAATCATGAAGAGTTACACCTCAGTACTAATGGAGCTATTAAACACTGCCTTATTACCTTGCCCTGTAATCATAGAAAGGCTCAAGCCAACGACATTGACGACGGTGGTGGGAAAACCTGCAGTGAAACGTCGGTATAGACGGATACGAGGTGTGCGCGGGCGAATATGTCTGCGACACGTTGATGATCGTATGTTGGCTGCGAACATCAAATTGTTGATGAAAGCGGTCAGCCATTTGTTACGTGCATGTGATACAAAACGGGGCGGAGAAAACACGGCAGGAGCAGGACATACTAAATATCCTCCAAATGCGTTTTTCTTCCAGTAGATAATCCTGATCCCAGAGAGAAGCTTTTCTGTGGCAGCAAATCTCGAACAGCTGAAATATTGATAAATGATGCTTTGTGTTCGGCCTACATTATGTACCAAACAAAACCATGACCAAACCAGCATGCATAACGGCATGCTGAACTCCCTTGACGTCTGCGCCATTGCCAAAACTTTGCAGGCAAATTACAGCGCAAAGAGAGTGCCCCAGCTGAAGACAATAACAGTAAATGAGTCGTGAACGTGTGTCCCAACTTTCTACATCTTCAACTCAAAATATTTTTCAAGCAGGCCTAACTGGTATCTTTAAATATTGGGTCCCTCCGCCGCACCCCACTCCGGGCTCGTGTGGCACGCGCACCCGCTTCAGCTCCCCCCCCCCCCCCCCCGGCGGTGCGCTAATCAGCGCCCCCCTGTCGCCGAGCAGCGGCGTGCGTGAGCTGGGTCATCAATGGTGCGGCGGCGGGCCGTCGGTCACGCCGGGCGCGCCGCCACCTGAGCCCGCAGCGCCGGGCATCGATCTGACCACACGCCGCCGCAGCCAGGCGGACCCCTTCCGATCGCTTCCGCACCACTTCCCAAACACTTCCGGTTCACTTCCGGTCCACTTCCGGCGGTCGGACGAGGCCCGGTCGCATCCTGCGGTGACTCCGCGAGAGGCGGAGATCGGCCGGCCGGACGGGCAGGGTGACTGGACCGCTGGCACCCCATGGTCGCATTAACGCGCTCCGGACACGCGAAGCCGCGTTGAACAAAGTCGGCGCCGGACCTTACGGACAGCCGCAGAGCTGCCCTGTATGCTGCCGCGGTTGTACGCCTCCGGCGCGCGCCTGATCTGCAGCCTGGGATAGTTCATCTCGGCCGCAGGGGCACACAGAGAGCCGATTCAGGCCACTGCCGGCTCAGAGCGGCGTCCGGCGCCGCGTGCGGTCCAGTGGGCCGCGGCGGGGGCGGATGAGGACAGACACAGCTCAGCGAGCGGCCGGGCCGAGTCGCACGCCCGCGGCGTTCCGTCGAGACAGCGGGTGGAGCGAGGCGGATAAACGGACGCTGTTAGCCGAGGCGCGCCAGCAGTCCTAAAACGATGCCGCATCGCGATGTCACGCGTGGGGTGCGCCGAATGAGGGCCGCCTCGGCGAAGGAGGCTGGGAGGACCAGGTGGATGACTAATCACAGGAGCGGCATTGACATGGTTCCCGCGTCCACGGCTCGGGGGAGGGGCTTTTCCAAAGAAATGCTTTCGACCGATGTAATTTAATGGGGCGGTTATGTCTCGTTTAGAGATGACGACATGCCACAAGAAACTCGATGAACGAGCAGTGCCTCATAGTCGGGCGATACTATCACATCACTCCACGATCAAGGGTTAGAGAGGTGTTCGGACAACCGAGTCAATCCGCTCTGGTAGAGTGCGGTCATAAATAGCAGGATCTGTGAGCCCATAACAGGCCATTCTGTGACCTGACCTCGACACCGACCTGATCAAATACTTGACCCGACTTTCGTCCCGGGCGTGTCGGAGGTCAACGTGACAGATGTGATGTAACGTGATGGGTGACGTCACTTCCTGGACGTGAAGTGACGGTGACGGACGTGCCGTTCTTCCTTCACCCCCTCTGGCAAATGGACGCGATCATTTCCGCCCAGGCCGGCAAGCCGAGCCTTCCTCCTCTACTTTCGGGATGCCTGCCCTGCCCGTCCCCTGGAATGTTGACCCTTCCCTCGGGGCGTACCTCGGAGCTGCAGGCGGTCAACTCGCGCTGGA